TATTGGTAATGAAATATTGAAACGTGTACAAGTTTGTATTGCATGCCTCACAACGTGAGGGAGTACTCTACTCTCGATATGTGGCCATACCTCAATTTCGCTACATAAAATCGTTCTTATACTTTTAGCTAGACATGAAATCCATATTATTATTAACGTTACAATAAGTACAGACATTGAATTATAAGATTAGTTTATTTTGTAACTGATTCAGTTTAGATTACATAACAAAAAATCTAATTGAAAAAATATATGAACTGCCGTCCGTTGATCTATGCGTTGCTTAATAGAAATGTAAGCAATAGATTGAGATATATAGTATTAAATAAGATTATACATATATTCTAAGGAGAATTCCTATTAGTTTTTTTATTGAACTCAACAAAATTATTAATGAAAGTCGAACAGATTCTCTGTTTTTTTTAATTATCTTTATTATTATTATCTTTTAATATAAAATATATATTTTATATATATATATATATATATATATATATATATATATATATATATATTTAAAACAAAATAAATTATCCTCCCTATTTTTATTTTTTTCATCAAAATTAAATGAAATGCTCATGAAGCGTGACCGGCGGCGGTTTGCTGCTGCTGTATTATTGTTTAAATAATGGTTTGAAGTGAACTTTATGTAAAAGTGGTGCGATTTTGTGTATTAAGTGTATGCGCATGTGAACTATTAGTGGAAAATATGAAACAAGTGCTCTGATGGTGATGTGATTCTCAAAATAAGGTGTATGTCTACTTAGGCGCCTTGAGATACCATCACCAACCGTCAGCTGTCTGCTGGCTCAAGTTACCGTGAAAATCTCTCGAGGTCTGCACAATGTGACGCATCAACATATTGTGAAGCAGTATACTGTTGCGCGCCACTATTAATGTCTTGTACATGGCAACACTAGTTACACTAGCGCCCTCTAGTGTCGAGTAAAAGAAAGTGTTGCGCGCCACTATTAATGTCTTGTACATGGTAACACTAGTTACACTAGCGCCCTCTAGTGTCGAGTAGCAGAACTAGGAGAGTCGAGATCCTTCCAGAAATTTCGGGACCGATATGTACTCGAACATTCTAGATGTCGCTACAGTAGAAGGTTGGAAACTATCTGAGGCCTATCTAAGTTGTGGAAAAACGGCAACGAGACTGGGACAGGCACATACAACCGTTTTTGTTGTCATATCGAAGCGCTGTTCACGAAAGTACATCAGTGACATTAGCTTTCGCAAACTTTGGGAGAGAATTGCGGCTGCCTGCAGACTTGATCACCGGAATACCACCTGATGCCCCAGGCAGTATAACCGATTATGCAAATGACTTGCGGAACAAAATGAATGACATTTATGAGTACGTCAGACAGACGGGCCAGCAAACGTCTGAGAAGATGAAAACACGGTATGACCGCAAAATGAACAACAAGGGATTTGATGAAGGTTCACTAGTGTGGTTACACAATCCAGTTCGCAGCAAAGGAAAATCTCCTAAGCTTCAAGCTAAATAGGACGGACCGTACCGGATTGTGACAAGGATCAATGACGTAACCTACCGGATACAGAAAGGTGCCAGAGGTACTCCTAAGATTGTCCATGTGGATCGACTGGCGCGTTATTATGGGGCCAATAATGCTCGGGACGAGCATGTCTTAGGAGGGGGCAGTGTTGCGCGCCACTATTAATGTCTTGTACATGGCAACACTAGTTACACTAGCGCCCTCTAGTGTCGAGTAAAAGAAAGTGTTGCGCGCCACTATTAATGTCTTGTACATGGGAACACTAGTTACACTAGCGCCCTCTAGTGTCGAGTAGCAGAACTAGGAGAGTCGAGATCCTTCCAGAAATTTCGACCTCCCCCACCCCAGCCTGCAAAATAATGATATTTGTAATAAAAAAAATACTAGTCGACGTATTTTTAATAGCACATTACGATTATACTTGTATTTGTAATTGCACACTCCAATTTTTTATAAAAAATCAAAAAGTAAATTATGGTTTTTACTAGTACTGAAATATCGAAATCTCCGTAAATAAAGTTTTTTTCTAATTGCACAGAGTGCCATTAAATTGCACATATCTCGATTGTAATTGCACAATACCGTATTGTTATTGCACATACTTATTTAGTTACAAAAATTAATAATTAAGTAAAACTGAGGGTCGCCGCCAATATGCGCTATACGCAGCAGACGACGGGCATAGGGCATACCATCAATGAAAACGGGCCATAAGTCGTTCTGCTTTTTAACCACAACACATCACGTTTCAATCCATTTCAGAATATTTGATTTTAAGGAAATGAAAAGCAGTATGTATTATTTTTTGTTATTTCTGTGGATACTGAGGTGAAAACAGCTAAAACTGGATACATGCAGAGAAAGTTGGTGCAGAGTTTGGAAGACCTTTGCCTGCACTACGATTCGACAGTTAGAAATTCTACAAGAGACATTGTTCAGGTTCTCTATGGTGGAGATGCCATGGACCACAGAACACTATTACTCCTGAAATTTCGGGACCGATATGTACTCGAACATTCTAGATGTCGCTACAGTAGAAGGTTCTGGAAACTATCTGAGGCCCTATATAAGGCCGGTATAGACCACGACCGGGCAGTATTGAAATGGCGATACAAGAGAATACTTCGAAGCGAAATAACAGCGAACTGTGTTTTATTATTAGTGTGATTTTAGATTGTAATTAGTGTTGTGTAATTAAAGTGTCAATTTTGGTAATTCAATCGGCAGTTTTTAAATGTCTCGAACCCCAAGCTCGTAACAATTGGTGTCAGAAGTGGGATCAAATATGCCGATTTTACCTAAAGACGACACGGAGGGTATCCGTACCCGAAGTCAACGCCAACAGAAGACGGACCAGAGACGATTTGGTAATGCAACGCCGCAAACGTAAGAGGGCCAGCTGCTAACCACGGAGGCCGGCCCGTCAGCAGCTCCTGCATCTGCAGCACCTGACTTAGGTGCTCTGATGATGATGCTGCAGGATCAGGCTCGCCGACAGGAGGAACAGGCCCGCCGACAGGAGCTCCTCAGAAAGGACCTTCACGCTACCTTCGGGAAAGAGATAAAGGAGGTGAAGGATAGGGTTGCTCAACATAACAACCGCCTGTCGGAAGCTGAAACCCAAATCGACCAAGTGAACAATCGGGTTGACAACGTGATGGCTGATGTGAAGGAAACGCTGGACGACCTCAAACTTGGGGATGGAATTACAGCTCCCGTAGTAGCTACAACACCTTCGCTACGTGGATTCAAAGTTCAGCCGTTCGACGGGAGTTCTTTCTGGTCGGCCTACAAAATCCAGTTCGAGGCTGTCATGAAAGCGAACAGCTAGAATAAAAGTCAGGCCATGACTGCTCTCACCCTAGGCCTACGCGACCAGGCATTAACTGTTCTGGAAGCTCTCGGTAAGGAAGTGACTTACGAGCAGCTCCTTGAGGCATTGGAGGCGAGATATGGCGATGCTCACCTGGAACACGTCTTTCGTGCGCAGCTCAAAGATCGCGTGCAACGCAGTAACGAAAACCTGCAGCAGTGGGCCCTTGAGGTGGAGAAGCTGGTTCGAAAAGCGTACCAGTCTGTACCTGCGCTCATTGTAGGGAACCTGGTGCAGACATTCATCGACGGCATCCGCGACCTTGAAGTCAGAGCTGCTGTGAGGCTCGGGCACCACGAGACGCTTAAGGACGCCTTGGCTCATGCATTGGAGGTGGAAGCCGTGCGGCAGGATCATCGTTCCCACCGCGTCAGGGAGGTTGCAGCATCTACAGTTCAGGACCGCAATAAGGGCTACAGCCCTAGGTGCTACGGCTGTGGGGAAAGGGGCCATCTTCGATCCAGCTGCCCTAAACGATCTGTAGAAAGGGAAGGTGATCGATATCGAGAGGGTAGTGTGGCTGACAGCACCGCCCAGCAGCAGCAGGGAAACTGGCGGGTGCTGGCTGATGTTAAAAGAGCTCCAAGGATTTCGATCTCACAAACCGTGATGGAAACAGCCTGATCATCAAGGGCGAGGTCAACGGAAAGCCGTGTAAACTGACCATAGACACTGGAGCCTCTCGCACGGTTGTCAGTTCCCAACTTATAAATCAGTTTCATGGGGACTCCGCATACAACCGCGAACGCATTAATTTGGTGACAGCCACCGGTCAGCGCATACCCGTCCGTGGAGAGAAGGAGATGGAGTTGAAGCTAGGCAACATGATCTACCTGCACAATGTCATCGTGGCTGATATAATGGATGACTGCATCCTGGGCCTAGACTTTATGAGGAAGAATTGTTGTGAGATCGACGTTAAGCAAGGTGTTTTGAAATGTGGACAAGAGGAACTTTTCGTGGAAGGGGCGTTACCAGGGAATGTGTACAGCCTTAAGAAGATTGTTCTTCCGCCGAGATCAGAAACGATTGTGCCGGTTAGTCTTCCTCGGAGTCCTGGGCAAGCTCATCGTTGTGTACTCGTGGAAAGGGTAGACAATGACCTTGCATGGAAAATGGCTCGAACCTTGGTCAGAACCACCGACATCTCAAGAGTACGTGTGTTGAATCTTTGTGATCAGGAACAGATTACAGAAAAAGGCACATTGGTTGGTACTAGTGAGGAAGTGGATTGGTTGCGTCGGTGCGAATATCTATCGACCAGGACCCCCAGCAAGGATGGACAAACGAGAGTGACCACACTTTTAGAAGACTGTCGCAGCGTTCTTTCCCCGAATGTTATGGTCAAGACGAAGAAGTTGTTACTTAAGTACGCCAATGTTTTCTCGTCAAACGAAGCTGACATAGGAAAAACTGGCTTAGTTCAACACAAAATAAACACAGGACAAGAATTGCCTATTCGTCAGCGGCCAAGAAGATTGCCTGTAGCACGTGAAAAGGAAGTGGAAACCATGATTGAGGGAATGGTGAAGGATGGTGTCATTGAACCTTCATCTAGTCCATAGTGTTCACCTGTGGTGCTGGTAAAGAAGAAGGACGGCAGCATGCGGTTTTGTGTTGACTACCGCCGCCTGAACGACGTTACAAAGAAGGACAGCTATCCCTTGCCAAGAATTAATGACACGCTGGACATGCTTACAGGCGTAAAGTGGTTTAGTACGCTGGATCTGAAAAGTGGCTACTGGCAGGTTGAAATTGACCCTAAGTACAAGGAGAAAACTGCATTCTCCACAGGAAAGGGTCTGTGGCAATTTAAAGTCATGCCGTTTGGATTGTGGAATGCTCCAGCAACGTTTGAAAGGTTGATGGAGCTTGTACTTACCAGGCTGATTGGAGATGCCTGTCTGGTCTATTTGGATGACATCATCATCGTAGGCCGTACGTTTGAGGAACACCTTCAAAACCTGGAACGTGTGCTCACAAAGATCCAGAGTGCCAACCTCAAGTTGAGTCCGAAGAAGTGCTCACTATTCAAACGGCAAGTTAGTTTTTTGGGGTATGTAGTGTCGGAAGAAGGTATCCGCACGGATCCAGAGAAAATTGCCGCTGTCAAGGAGTGGCCGGTTCCAAAAGACAAGACACAGGTTAGAGCATTTTTAGGTTTGTGCTCTTATTATCGGCGATTTGTGAAGAACTTTGCAGATATAGCCAAACCTCTGCACAAGCTAACCGAGGAGAAGCGACATTTCAGCTGGGATGAAACTTGCGATATTGCATTCCAGGAGCTCAAGACCCGTCTGTGCAAAACACCTATTTTGGGGTACCCTGATGCGGGCAAGGAATTCATAGTTGACACAGACGCAAGTGATATAGGACTTGGCGGTGTGTTGTCTGAACGGAATGGTGATCAAGAGATTGTGATAGCGTACTTCAGCAAGTCGTTGTCAAAGCCGGAAAGGAACTATTGTGTCACAAGACGGGAATTGCTTGCTGTGGTAAAGTCCTTGCAGCATTTTAGCAAATATCTCCTGGGGCGGAAATTCTACTTACGAACTGACCATGCTGCACTGAAATGGCTATTGCAGTTCAAAAATCCGGAAGGACAAGTTGCGAGATGGATTGAACTACTACAGGAATACGACTTTGTGATCGAACATCGCAGCGGGAAATCTCATGGCAATGCAGATGCATTATCAAGAAGACCTTGCCCTGAAGATTGCAAGCATTGTACTAGGCAAGAGGGTAAAGAAGTAGTATCTGCGAGGATATTTAGGACAGACCAGCTCAGCAATGAATAGAAGGACAGCCTACAACATGCACAGCAGGAAGATTCGGACATTAAGCCGATTCTGAAATGGATGAAGGCCAGTGCTCCTAAGCCCAAGTGGAGCGACGTCTCAGCTATGAGTTCGACCACGAAAAGCTATTGGGCCCAATGGGACAGCTTGCTGATTCAGGATGGAGTCCTGTGCCGTAAATGGGAAAATGGTCGGGGAGACAGGTGTCATTTGCAAATAGTTGTCCCTAAGGCTAAAGTGCCGGAAGTTCTACAGCTGTACCATAGTGGTTGTTCAGGAGGCCACCTGGGAGTTAAACGAACTCTCCTGAAGATCCGAGAACGGTTTTACTGGGTCCACTGTCGTGACTATGTCGAGGACTGGTGCCGCAAATGTACAAGTTGTGCGGCTGTAAAGGGACCTCAAATTCGTAGTAGAGGCGCATTGAAATTGTACAATGTTGGTGCACCATGGGAGAGGATAGCCATTAACGTTGCGGGGCCGTTTCCAGAAACTGAAAGTGGTAACAAGTATTTCATGGTTGTGATGGATTACTTCACTAAGTGGCCAGAATTCTTCGCCATTCCGAATCAAGAAGCTTCAACAGTTGCAGATAAACTAGTTCATGAAGTCTTCTGTCGTTTTAGAGATTCACAGCGATCAAGGAAGGAATTTTGAGTCTCAAATATTCCAGGAAACTTGCCGAGTTATGGGTACTCAGAAAACACGAACAACTTCTTACCACCCACAATCTGATGGAATGGTAGAAAGATTTAATCAGACATTGGAGAGGTACCTAGCAAAAGTTGTGGAAAAACGGCAACGAGACTGGGACAGGCACATACAACCGTTTTTGTTGTCATATCGAAGCGCTGTTCACGAAAGTACATCAGTGACATTAGCTTTCGCAAACTTTGGGAGAGAATTGCGGCTGCCTGCAGACTTGATCACCGGAATACCACCTGATGCCCCAGGCAGTATAACCGATTATGCAAATGACTTGCGGAACAAAATGAATGACATTTATGAGCACGTCAGACAGACGGGCCAGCAAACGTCTGAGAAGATGAAAACACGGTATAACCGCAAAATTAACAACAAGTGGTTTGATGAAGGTTCACTAGTGTGGTTACACAATCCAGTTCGCAGCAAAGGAAAATCTCCTAAGCTTCAAGCTAAATGGGACGGACCGTACCGGATTGTGACAAGGATCAATGACGTAACCTACCGGATATAGAAAGGTGCCAAAGGTACTCCTAAGATTGTCCATGTGGATCGACTGGCGCGTTATTATAAGGCCAATAATGCTCGGGACGAGCATGTCTTAGGAGGGGGCAGTGTTGAGCGCCACTATTAATGTCTTGTACATGGCAACACTAGTTACACTAGCGCCCTCTAGTGTCGAGTAAAAGAAAGTGTTGCGCGCCACTATTAATGTCTTGTACATGGTAACACTAGTTACACTAGCGCCCTCTAGTGTCGAGTAGCAGAACTAGGAGAGTCGAGATCCTTCCACAAATTTCGGGACCGATATGTACTTAAACATTCTAGATGTCGCTACAGTAGAAGGTTCTGGAAACTATCTGAGGCCCTATATAAGGCCGGTATAGACCACGACCGGGCTGTATTGAATTGACGATACATGAGAATACTTCGAAGCGAAATAACGGCGAACTGTGTTTCATTATTAGTGTGATTTTAGATTGTAATTAGTGTTGTGTAATTAAAGTGTCAATATTGGTAATTCAATCGGCAGTTTTTAATTGTCTCGAACCCCAAGCTCGTAACAATACTATGAAGAATTATTATTATAATATAATATTGTAACTTCAGGCTCAGAAGGGCTAGATTCCAGAGCCGTAAAGCCAGTTATTAAGAAGGTATACATTCACATTGGATAACGCGTAGTGTTTCTATATAACTATATAGGTAGTTTGTGCATTGGATATACCTACATACATTTTAAAGTGGGACTCGTAGTGTTTCTATATAGTTTGTGGTGGGACTTGATTAAATAGAAAAAGGCATTGAGATAAATGTACTACGGTACGTAAGTACATTATAATTCAATATTATAAGATATCGTATCCCGAACAGTGTTAATTTATTTTGGATTTTAAATGGAGACTTAAGTTTGAATCTCGGCCGGCTTAGATATTTGTACAAAATGTATTTGTTTGTTTATATGCATTCGTTAATTTAAACTGGTTATGGGAGGATTAGGTAGGTTAACTAACTTTGTACACATTATATTATACTTTGTTGCTTTGCCCTGTGGTTTTAATAACCACAAACATTTTTTATCGTACATAATATGTATTGACAACATATGTAATGAATTAGCCTTACTATTAAGCTACCAAGGATGATATGTTAGGATATTGAAATTAAAAAACATCCTAATTTCAATAGAGAGGAGGTTGGGTACTACCACCTACTTGGGATCATGTTATAAATAAAATTAAAACTAAACCCAAGCATACCACTGCAAGACTTCAAGATAAAGTAAGTAAGCAAATTCCACGAAGATCATACCAAAAGAAATAATCAAAAAGCTGAAGGTACTCTGGATTAACTTGAGGGAAAAATAATCTTGTTTTTAATAAATACTTCAATATTTTTACAGAAGCACATTCCTTATAGACATGTCACTGCCAGATGATTCAAAATATGTGGTCAAAACTGAAGAAGGCCCTGTATGTGGATATATTGATAAAGTTGATGGAAAATCTTATTACAAATTCAAGAAAATTCCATATGCTAGACCACCTATTGGAAGCTTGAGGTTTCTGGTTAGTTTAATGAACTTTTATATTTAAGAAAATTTAATAAATTATCTTATTAGCTTTGAAGGTAACAAATATCTTCGCAAAAAATTAATAAAAATACCTTACTTTGTACAATAATCCCTTTTTTACCTTTCAAATAATTTTCTTTCAAGTGATGTATAGAAAAATGCCTGATGAAATTGCCTAAAATTTTCCATATTTGTATACTGATATTCTGTATCACTTCCGAGAGTTTATATCTTATCAATACTTCTATGAGGTAAAACACAGGTCATTGCTTCAGATATCTTGTTAGGTTCAGATCAAGCGAATACGGCGGTCAAACTTTGAGTTTATGAAATCAGGGTAATTGTCTTTTCTTTTGAAAATGAAAGTTCTTCTGAAAATTGTTTTAGTTTTCGGTTTTTGGCCAAAGCAATCATTTTTGTATATTTATTATTTGGGTGTTAAACTATATTTTTTATAATAATAATAATAATCATTTATTTTGGACTGTGATCCTTAAGGGTTACTAAGTAATTTATAAACTAAAATATATTAGTAACATCATTAACTAATTATAACTAAATTACTTAATATACCTCTGCCCACTTCCCACTGCACTAGACCTGCAGCTGTGTATATGTGTCCAGTGCTGCAGGAACGGGCAGTCTGGTTTCTCCAGACCTATTTCTGTACTACCAACTCTCAGTAAAATTTTCGAAAAAATAATTTTGGATCAATTGTTAAATAATTTTAATACAAATAAATTACTTCATAAAAACCAATTTGGTTTTAGAAGGGGTCGCTCGACATCGGACGCCGGTGTCGAGCTTATGAAATATATTTTTAACGCCTGGGAGAATTCACAAGATGCCTTAGGTATTTTCTGTGATCTTACCAAGGCTTTCGATTGTGTTCATCATGAGACATTAATCAGGAAACTACAACATTACGGTGTAAAAAATTTGTGACTTATTACTTCATATTTAAGTAACAGAACTCAAAAAGTCGTGATCAATGGTAAAGGTTCCTCCGGATCGGTAGTATCAATGGGCGTTCCTCAGGGCTGTATTCTTGGTCCATTCCTGTTCTTAATAATAATTGATGAATTACCTTATCTTGTAGGGGACAATCACGTTATAGTATTATTTGCTAACAATACCTCTTTAATTTTCAAACTAAAATGTCAGTCAATTAATTATGACGATGTAAATAATGCTCTATCGAAATTAGTACATTGGTTTAATGCCAACAATATGCTCTTAAACGGCAATAAGACAAAGTGTATTAAATTTACAATACCTAATGTAAAACATTCAAATACCAATGTGCTGTTAAATGGGGAGGAGTTGAGTCTTGTGGAAACCACTGTTTTTCTCGGTATTACTATTGACGCGAAACTTCAATGGGGCCCCCATATATCTAAATTAGCAAGCAGACTTAGTTCTGCAGCATATGCTGTAAAAGAGATTAGAAGTCTCATAGATGTTGAGACAGCTAGATTAGTGTATTTTAGTTAATTTCATAGCGTAATGCAGTGGAGTAGCGTGCCTTAAAGGGGCCCTGTATCAAAATTTGTCGGGGGGCCCAAATGAAGGGTAAAGATTTTTCACAAAAGGAACAAAACCTCTCGGATTGAATTAAAATAATTATATATTGATTATAAGTTATTACTTACAATTAATACTCCGAGGAACTCAGCCAAACAATTCAAACCAACATCCTGTCCCATAGAAGTCCTTAGAATTTTTGGGGCGTTAGGGGCCTCTGTAGCCCGGGGCTGATACGGCGGTAGCTATGCCCCTGGCGTAATGTCTTATGGAATTTTGCTATGGGGTAATACGACTGATATTGAAGCTATATTTGTTTTGTAAAAAAGAGCCATTCGGGCGATTTATAACCTAAATTGTAAAGAGTCCCTCAGACAAAAATTTAAAGAAATAAACATATTAACTTTGGCATCGCAATATATTTATGAAAATGTAATGTATGTACATAAAAACATAAATGGCTTTAATAAGAATAAGGATGTGCATACTTTGAACACTAGGAACAAACATAAGCTTGTAATACCAGTTACTAGACTCCACAGAATCAGTAATTCATTTATGGGGCAATGTATATGCTTTTACAACAAAATCCCAGAACATATTCAAAGTTTGTCAATAAACAAGTTTAAAAGTTTTATTAAAGAAAAACTGTACAAAAAGGGTTATTATAATATCAAGGAATACATGAATGAAAATAACCCCTGGAAATAAGGTGATCGCCACCATGTTGGTTCTATGAAAAATCATTTAAAATTGTATAAACGAAATTATAGTTAAGTGATGTTTAAAAAAAAAAGTCCCGCTGGGTTTCTTGCTGGTTCTTCCCAGGACAGAGGTATTTTCCGAACCAGTGGTAAATAAAAAATGACTTTCAATAAGAATTATGTAAGAATCAATATTGAATAAAAAATTATTCTACTCTATTCTATTCCACAATAACTCAGGATACTGTTGATGCTCGCTCGAAGCCTACGCATCAGAGATGCGTTCTTTTTCGCAGAATAGCTCGAATGCTGTCCGTTACCGCTTCTGCAACCATGCCTGACGCACTACAGAATCGTTGAAGCCCCAACAACACCCTAAATATATATATATATATATATTTAGGGTGTTGTTGGGGCTATATATATATATATATATATATATATATATATATATATATATATATATATATATATATATATATATTGCACACGAAGAACATTGTAGGCCCACTGTGTATATCTAACCCATAGGCTGCATGTGTAGAATGATTGACATGTTGCACCATACCGACAACGCTCTTTGCTCCCTCTATATCATCTTCATCATCTAAATCTTATCTTCATTAACTATTTGGCTGGTATGACTTTCCATTGACGTCCATTGAGTTGGGGGTTGATATTTTTTTTTACGGAATGGTTACATTATTATAAGCACACACGCAACATGCGGAATCGCGTACTTTTTCAGAAAAAAATTATTGAAAATCCATTATTTTTGCAATATTTATGCCAATCCCCATTGACGCCCTTTGAGTTGGGTGTTGATATTTTTAACAAAAAGGTTACATTATTATAAGCATACACGCAAACTTTCAACATTCGGAGACGCGTACTTTTTGAGAAAAAATAATATTGAAAATCACTTATTTTTGCAATATTTATCAATCCCTGCCACAGATTATACCGAATTCTCGAATTATATTTAAATTACAGAATTATTTTATTACGAATTTATTTTATAACAGAGGGGGACTGATTCAGAGGGATTTCTGTATCTATTTTGAGACTGCAACGTCTCCGGCGCTGCGGGAAGAGCAGCCTCCGCCTCGTCCGATGCCTACGTTTCGGCGGAGGCTGCTCCCCCTACGCGCCTCCGGCTCAATAAAACACTCTAGGGGTAGGACAGACTCGTACCAGGTAGAGTCGGGGTCAATCAATTCGGTTCTTTGACATAATTTGAACCTAACCTATTTTATATGTTATCTACCCTAATAGATACTGTTAAAATAAAACAAATTTCAATAAGAGATCATTTATTATGGTATCTTTCTTGTTTTTCATAAAATGGATTTATATTTACATTATAAATGCATACAAAAAATATCGATATTTTAGAAATTGATTTTTTGTGAATCGATACATCAGCTTACGATTCGGATCGATTTAAAAATCGATCCTTTTCGGAAAAAATCGACATCCCTATTGACGATGACAATGACAATAAAAAATAGCGTCATTTTTACGGTAGGAATTGAAAACATCTTCCAATGCAGCGGTGAAGAGTTTCGGGGATATAACATCATCCTGTTTTACATCTCTCTGCAATTAGATAGGTTTCGTACTCTGATTCTGTACTCAGATAGCCATCATTTATTATGGTATCTTATAAATGCAAACAGGAAAATATATCTATATTTTAGAAATAGATTTTTTATGACTCGATACAGAGCTTACGATTCGAATCGATTTAAAAATCTATCTTTTTCGGAAAGAATCGACATCCCTACTGACGACGACAATGACATTACAAAATGGCGCCAGTTTTACGGTAGGAATTTAACATAAACATTGCAAGAATAATTATTTTTATACAATTTTTTTTTGTTGAAACTTTACGTGTGTGCTTATAATAATGTAACCTTTCTGTAAAAAAACATATCAACCCCCAACTCGACGGACGTCAATGGAAAGCTAAACCATTAGGCTTTTTTGTACCCACTCGAAACATCATAACCTCACTTCTTTATATTATATAAGAGGCCATGTGACATGGCGTATCTTTCACACACTCCAATCAGTTATCTGAGTGCATCAATCAAAGGACTGAGCATCACCATATCATCTGCATAACTTATGCTATTTATTATGTTGCCGTCAATGCTGCATCCGATATCGGTGCTACTAAGCTCCTCGATTAACTGATTGATGTATAGGCCATCGGAGGCAGATCTCAGCCTTGGTTTGGTCGCTCCTGTAAGACTGCATTACGCAGTAAGCAGGAGTGTTATCAAGCCTGGGCTGCGGCTTCGGCGACTCGGAATGTAAATACCAGCACACTTAAAAAGAAGTATAACTTCGCTTCCAGGTCCTTCAAAAGAGTTATTGCCAAGGCAAAGTCAGAGCACATAGGCAGAATTGGCGAGAAACTAGTTCGCCTTCCTTCGGGAACCCGTGCATTCTGGTCTCTCGCCAAGGCTGTCCAAGGGAATTTCTGTAAGCCATCACTACCATCTCTGCACAGGGAGGATGACTCACTGGCCCATGACGCAAAAGACAAAGCCGACCTTTTAGGCTCCCTTTTTGCGTCCAACTCGACTCTTGATGACGGGGGGAAAATACCGCCGACCATCCCGCGGTGTGAGTGCTCCATGCCGGATGTGCTGTTCTCACAGCGCTCGGTTCGCAAAGCACTGCTCTCCCTGGACATCCAGAAGTCGAGTGGGCCTGACGGAATCCCCCCAATTGTGCTGAGGACGTGTGCTCCGGA